TCTTTTAAAGACCAGTGTGTTTTTTGTTCTTCAATTACTTCTCTACATTGAACTGCTGGTAACATTTAGCTTCACTTGAAGTTTGATGGCTCATATACACAATGCCTCATATGCCTTTTAACACCTATATGTTAAAATGAAACTAACTACTCTCAAAATTTCCCAGTCAATATAAGTATAGTGCAAAAATAAGCGAGCAAGTCTAGCATTGGGAGCTCTGACTATTGCTTCTATTCCATTTAGAAGACATCTTTGTCCAGGATTTCTCCAACAGCAGACTTTGGAATCCTCTGGTCCTTAGTCTACTGACAGGTTTCTCTCTTCTGTGGTCCCTCCAGGATAACTTCTTGCCACTCAATCACTGGCCTTATGCCTCCATTGGCATCATGCCTTTGTTAGTCAGTCCTTATACCTATACTCTCCAAACTTCTCCCAAGATAGCAAATATATTAGATTACCTTTACTGTGGCTATGTTGTATTTTAGTGGTCTTCTAAGATAGTTTCTGCTTATCTTCAGATGAAACAGTGGTGTGAAACCAATGTCTACTACACTCAGCCTGTTCCACTACTGGAGCACTATTTAGAGGCCCACTCCCAGGGAGCCCCCGCCACCTTACACTGCTGCCTTTGTTTCAGAGGGAGCAGTGCAGGGTGGCAGGTAGAAGCTGGCCCACGAGGGGACCAAGTTTAAAAACCAGCTCTCCACACAGACCAGCTGCCCCACACTGCTGCCCCTGATACAGAGGCAGCATCGTGGGGTGGCAGCAGCCCCTGTCCATGGGGAGCATGGGCCAGCCAGGGACAGAGGCTGGTCTGGCAGCAGCCCCTGTCCCTGTGGGCTTATTTAATTGTGTCATGGACTACACATTGATATCCATATTTTAGAGCTTCTATAAAATTCAATAGATCCACTTAGCCCACTAGCAACTCGCTGAAATGACTGAAATTTTTCAGGAAATGCACTGTTCAAGTTCTTCCTAACCATAAGTGGATTAATAGCAGCAAGGGACCAGTGTACATTTTGTTCTTTGGTCCCCAATATGTATTTGAAACCACTCCCCGCCTCCAACCCTAACTGAAACCTTAGAGCTAAAATAGTTGGAAGATTATCAGCTCTCTGCATCTTTGGCTCCTTTCACACTATTGAAGTTACATTAGTTTGCCTCCACAATTCTTAAGTTGGTCAATACCAGAACTCCTTGCCAAGGGCTTCCCCACTTTCCTTGCGACAAACATTAATTCATCATGTTGTTTGCAATGCTGTGTCAATTTAATAATCTTAATCACCTCACTGAGTATCCCATGGCAATCAAACCAGGTAAGATTTCTTTTAGCCGAAAGTATTTGCATCAATGGGATACAAAAAAAAAGTAGGGTGAAATTATTTTTAGGTTCTTCACAATGGTAAAAACTCTCAGATCTTGTCCCTTCAGTGACTACTGAATCTCTCATAAAAAAAAGCCATCAATTTTTGGGAGGGGGAGGAGGGATCTATCCATTTCATCTTCCAGGCTGTGCATTATCTTCCTTGCTGTTTTTCCTTCTCTCCATCTTTATGCAAATTCTGTCAGCGTGAATCTCTGCCATACCAAATGGATCTAGTTCTGCAAGCCTCACACACATCGGCAGCAGCACCACTGAAGTCAATGGGATTACATGAATGGCTACTACCAAGTGTGAAGGATGCAGATTCAGGTCCTATATTAGTAACTACAGAAGTGTACATTTTGAACATTTTCTATGGGTCTCATGACCACCTCCCTCTCTAAAATTCCCAACCCAACTAAGTTTGAGAGTGCAGGACCATTGTGTTGAAGAGCCTAATTCAGGCTTTTCTGTGTAAGTCCCTGCTGCATGAACTTTGCA